CATACCCGATTTCTGGGTTGGAGCTCGTTGAGACTTATGTGGACGGGGAACATCCTCTTAAAATCACAGTCTTCTAGCTTTTCAGGTTCTCGAGTTAGCAAATTACCCGAAAAAAATTTTGGCGGGCCCGTACATGGATACCACGCCATCCAAAATCTGGTTTTGAGCTCATTCGGACTTACGTGGACGGGGAAAATCCGCTTAAAATTACAGTCTTCTAGCTTTTCAAACCCTCAAGTTAGCAAATTACCCGAAAAAAAAATCTTGGTGGGCCTGTGCGTTGGTACCACGCATACCCGAGGGCTGGGTTTCATTCACTGAGACTTACGTGGACGGGGAACATCCGCTTAAAATTTCAGCTTTCTAGCTCTTCTGGTTCCCGAGTTAGTGACTTATCCACAAAAAACTTTCAAGGCCCGTACGTGAGTACCACGCGGATAAGAGCGTCCATTTTGGGGAATGGGGCCCGTACGTCCATGTAGATTAAGTTCCCAAAGTTTGAGCCTTGTAGCTTTTGTATGTCCTGAGATGGAAAACCGTGACAGATGCACACTCGGACACACAGACTCAGACATAGATGCACAGACAACCCCTCGTCAACATGCATTTTCTGCATTGCATAGCTGCAAAAAATGCATAAAAAATTGTGAGAATACCGACCTCCTCACAACTCTACTTCTTAGAAAAAGATTGGAACTTTCATGCTTTCTGAAATGTTAAATTCTATTCGATTCGCCACCTCGCTTAATCAACAAGGCATCGAAAGAAGAAAGGAAAGTATTTGAAAGCCAAAATTTAAGGAACAGAGAAACATCCTTGCAGAATTGTTCTGAGTGGATAAGGAAAATCAAACGGACGGACGAGCGGAGAGACACAAAAGGAATATAATCGGAAGTTTACAGAAATGGCAAGTGTAGATACAAACTTGTCTGATAATGATGGATTGCAAGAAGCAGTGAGCGGAAGAAAGGCTCGTCGGTAAAGGTGAAACCAAATTCGTGCAATTGCTGGAAGTCGATGGGGAGGGATAAGCGTGTGCTCAGTTCTTCTGTGGCATCATCCTCATCAAACATCATCCCTGAAACAAAAACAAATCAAACATTACATGAAGAAGTGCTACAAAGGATTTCAAAACGACAGTGACGAGGAATTCAACAATAACTGAGGAATACGGCAACAAATTCAGTGATGCCAAAAATTTAACAGAAACATTCAACAGCGCTAAATGACAAATCTGCTGCTGCTGATTAGGAAAATACAAAACCGACTATTTATAAGTTGCATAAATTATCAAACTTCACTTCTAATAAAGTCTATTAACAGAAATAAGAAACAAAATTTGGATTAATCGCAAACCAGCAAGTCTGTTGAGTTCTGTTTCTTGAAACCAGTGTATTCGACTACGAATTTTTTTGTGCAAATGCCGATCTTGTCTCTCTGACACCTGTAAAATACACGCAGAGATGTTTGATCGGATCATTTCTTAAGAACAATTTCAGTGCTAAATAAAAGGGAATAAAAATAAACTGGGCGGGCGAATGTTGAGTGCAAACAAATGCAGCACATAATCAATTATAAGCTGCCATCATTTTATGATCTAAAAGACGTTACAGTGACGGTGTATGTCAGGAAATAAAGTTGGGCCGGTCCAGTTTTACTGATCAGAGGTAAGAACGGGAAGGAACAAAGGTTACAGCAGAAAAGCCCCCGACAACTGACCCAATTCATTAACTTGAACGAATGGAGTGGCGCAGACAGAAAATATCATAAGATCGTATTCGTTCGAAAAATTGCCAATGCATAGATGGAGATTTTGACACAGAATTAGCAGCTGCTTCAAGGGTTCCAGGTCAAATGTAGAATTTGAAATGCTGGTAAAAAAAAGAGTGTAAAATGGAAAGCACGAACGACGAGGATGAGGAACGGGGAAACTGAAAATATGAGAAGCCAGAGATTCAAATTTACGTGTAAAAATATAAAGGAAAAATCTGTGCTCCAACCTGCGATGTTTAGTAGGCAAAAAGAATGTGTTTCAGGGGGAAAGGAGCAATAACTGCAATTTAAATGAGGCATTTTATAATAAGTGACAACACGCACCAGACTAGCCGGCA